TATTGTTGATTTTGACATTTGATGGGAACTAAAGCAACTCCAAATTCCAATACATTTTACACCCCTACGAAGGGGTGCCATTAACACTCCCCTTTAAAACCCCTCCCTTGCATTTCCCCCCCCCATTCATTTTATATTAAATTATTAATATTTAATTGTATGTATTAGTTTATATATGATATATTAATTATATGTAAATATCAGTTTTTAGAGTAAATTACACTGGTGTTACTATTTTTTAGTTAATACTTTGAATGTTTAAGTTTTTTAGAGTAAATTATATAATATATTGATAATATATAAATAATGTTTAAGTTGGTATTACTAATTTTCGGTTAATACTTTGAATGTTTCGAGTTTTAATCTTACATTAATCAATCTTATTTCTAAAATGTAATAGTCTAAAAATGAATCATTTGGATTTATAAATTTTTACAATTTTATAGCATCTCCAATATATTCTTCAAGGAGAATTAAAACTCTAATAAAATATTATTTCTCTCTCATAAACCATTAATATCAAGAATTCATATCGGTGTGAATATGATAAAAAAAATATTTCCCTCTCATTATAATCATTTTTGGTTTACACTCTTTCATGTTTTCTCCATTTTGGAGAGTTTTGGAGCGGTTGTGGGAGCAAAAATATGCCTAAAATCTTTATTTTCTCAATTTTGAAAAATCTATTGAAGATGCTCTTAATTCGGCCCCCTGGACTACAACAGTCGTGTTCCGCCCCTGCAATAAATGACAAAAAGAAACTTGTAATATAATTATATCTTCAGTTTTTGTAGGTGGTGGCGGTGCTTAGTAGGTAGCAGTGAGGTGGTGGCGTCAATGATTTTAACGTTTTAAACAATTAATGTATAATATATTATAAAATTATTTGTAAAAGAACTTCTAAAAATACATTAAATGCTCTCTATGAATACAAATATATATATATATATATATATATATATATATATGGGTTCGGAAGAACTGATTAGTTTGTGGTAACTGTGAGATCCAATCTCAACCACAAATCAACGAATAAATTAGGAAATTAATAATTATGGTAATTTGTGTTAAAATTATAATTAGAGGGCATTTTAGGTATTTTTAAAAAACTCTTCTCTTCTCTCTCCTCTCTCATCTCTCCGACCTCCAATCTCTGGCCTCCGGTGAACATTAATGTGGCAGGTACCAAGTAATCACAAAGATACACAATGTGATACCCATTGTGATATATTGTGATACAATTGTGATACCAACTATGATACCAACTCAAACCTTAAAAACAACGATACACAATGTGATACCCATTGTAATACACAATGTGATACCCATTGTGATATACTGTGATACTGGTTTCACCGGAGGCCGGAAATTGGAGGTCGGAGAGATGAGAGAGGAGAGATGAGTTTTTAAAAAATATCTAATATGCCCTATAATTATAATTTTAACTCAAACTACCATAATTATTAATTTTCTAATTTATCCATTGATTTGTGGCTAAGATTAGACCTCACAGTTACCATAAACTATTGAGTTCTCATTTGATTAGGCCCCTATATATATACTATATTATAAAACATTTGACAAAAACTCTTAAAAATCATTCTTTATGCATGAAGTACTGCATATTGATGCATATTACTTACAATTCAATATTACAAGTAAATTATGTATAAGTACAACTTATTAAAGCTCCATGTTTGAATTCATGTAACTAACTGAGGATAAACATAATCAAATAGAGGATAAACATCTCATTTTAAAATATAAAAAATCTAAAATATAAATTAAGATAATTATCGAGTTCTAACAAAATAATTAATTATTATATTTATAAAAAAAAGTATATTATTAAACCAAATATGAATTTACTTCGTTATTGAACCTAAATTGAATTATAACAAAAAATTTGAATTAAAAAATTACACAAAAACTGAGAATTTTAAATAGTTAATTTGATACTAATATCGATATATTTTTGTCAAAATTTTATGATATCTTCAAATTTATATTTTATTTAAAAGTAAAAACATTGTCGCATTTTCAAAATCACATAAGATCATATTATAACATTGACTGAGATAAAGAATAAAAACAAATTATTAAAATCAAAATAGATCTCGTTGCATTACGCGAGTACCTTCTAGTATAGATGAAGGATCGTATGAGAATAGAAGTTAAGATGAGAAACATAAGAAGAGATCTGAACCCTTGATCACTTTTAATCTCACCCCACCCATGAATTGCGCATGATACGAGAATTAGTCTGGTGCATCTCTCGTGCATCTCATTGAGATTGATCTTCAATTAGGATTGATCCAAGGGTCTAGATCCTTTCTTACCATTCTCACCATAACTTCCATTCTCACAGGAACCCAAACCTATATATAAATGTTGATTTTCAGTGAGAAGTAGAGTTAAATGATAAGCGTAAGAATAGATCTCCATCAAAATGTCTCAGATCAATCCCCACATCAAGCTTGATTCAAGGGTAGTTTGAGATTAAAGGTAAGCAAGGGTCCAAATCCCTTCTTCTGCTTCTTACCTAAACTCTTTTTCTCACACGATCATTCGCATATATATATATATATATATATATATGTGTGTGTGTGTGTGTGTGTGTTCAAATGAGAAACTAAACATTTTACAAGAAAGCGAAAAATTTCAATATCATATATGATTACACGTGATACACAAGTTTAATCATATGTAAACACATATTGCATTGATAACACGTAGGCGCTTAATCATTTATGATTAAACACACCTAAAATAGTGTAATCATATATGATATTGAAACTTCTCGTCTTCTCATAAAAATAATAACTTCTTGCATGATCCTTGCCCCCTCTATATATATATATATGTACATACACACACATACACTATATTATACAGTGTTGAAAACGGCACGCCATGCGCCATGACGATATGGTGCAAGACGTGTCTCCGCCGTTACAAAATGACCCATAGCGTTTCTATAAGGCATGGCTCACACCATGGCGTCTTGAGGCGTGCGCTTTTTGTAAGACGTGATTTCTTTCCAAAAAAATATGTTTTTTTATCTTTTGTGTTTTTACACCATTAACTTTAGATTTTACACTTTTATAGATCTAACTAATCACATCACTCACAATTTCACAAATTCATAAAACGTTACAGATTCGCGATTAAAATAAAGTTGTAAAATTACATTTCTAAGTTCTATTTCAAATATTCAATCAAAAACGTATTTTTATAATAATAACCTATATGACTTTTCCCCATTCTAATATGAATGTATATTTTTTAATATCATTATCTGATTAGGTAATATATAGAAAACATATATCTTATATATAATTCTATATATGACATACAAATTTTTCGTCTTATGTTACGCCTTGAAAAATGTCGCGTCCTCGCCATGGCATGTAAGACTTGAGGCTTGATCTTGCTGCCACGCCACGCCTCATGCCTTTTTGAACCTTGATATTATAAAGCATACACATCTCATGTTTTAAAAATATCTTAAAATTCGAGTTTACAACTTATGAAACAATCACCAACAGATTTTTTTAGAATTTTTCTTAAATAAAGAAACAAAAGTTAAATTCTCCATTGTAGAAAATTTGTTGGAGATGCTCTTACTACATACGTATAACTTCTTAAAACTTAAGATTTACACTCTATGAAACTAACTGATAATTAACTTACATACACATTCAAATACAATATAAATATCAAATCATATTAATACGACATAATCCTTCATATAACAAATAACCTACAATAGGGATGTTCGCATCGCACTGCATATACATTTTGAACATTTTCCCAAACTGCACATCACATAAACCTCAAACTGCACAAATCACACCGTAAAATGTGGTGCGGTTTATGTGGTTTGAATCTATTGCATTTTATGCCTACAATCTAATAATTATAAGTTTAAAAATACATTATAGATCAGCAATAAAGTGATCGTAGTCCAAAAAAAAAAAAATTCAATACATCCGATTCCCAAATACATATTACATACTTAAAATAGTGTAAGAGGTAAAAAGAATAAACTACGAACAATTGGACGTTTGAGTTGTGACGTGTCCAACTAATTTATTAATATTGTCAACTGTCATATTGGATTTAAAACAAAGTCCAAAAATATTACATAAATAATAAATTATTCTATATATCTATGTGTGTTATATATTCAATTGAAAAATATACAAAATATGCATGCGATTTGGACTGCAGGTTGATAATTTATTTATTAAAAATTGTTCAGGGACTTAATCAATATCAAATTATTTATTTGAAACAACTTATGTTTTTTTTATAAAAATATTTATCAACTTATTATAAGTTGAAAGATTTCTTCAAAAACTTCTTATTAGCGGTTTGACATTGATATAAATTGTTTATCCAAACATTCAAAAATATTTATTATTAATATTACACCGAAATAAATTAATAAATTATTTTTATAAGAAAATATCATGTTGCACTGAGAGGAGTATGTGTTGAAAGAGGCCAATTGGATACGTTTCTTGTTCTAGATATGGGTTGGTTTGTACTTCCACAATCCACTTTGACCAAGAGGTTTTTTCAGAAGATTCCCATGAAAGTGATTCTCTGGATGCTGGAGCGACATGGACAATGACAATGATGGAGTGGATCCCCCCAAAATCTAAGCTTTATCGTCAATTAGGTTTTGTTATTATACCACCAAATACTAGTCTCTACTCGTTCCTTGGCTCAATCGACGACTTTTGAGATGAAATCAACATCCCGGTACGTGTATAGAAATCATCTGCATCTCAATTGATTTAATAATGATTGTCACTGTAAAAGTCATCACGCGTCTCTCTGTAACTTCCACCAAGCTTCCTCGTAAGAACCCTAACCCTCAAATCCACATCAACGGACTCGGCAGGTACGCGTTTACTCTCTCTCTCTCTCTCTCTCTCTCTCTCTCTCTCTCTTACACACACCTCATTGATGTAATGATGTTTGACTCCTCGCCATTAAATAATATGTCACATATCAATTCCGTCTATAATCAATACCATCAATCGAATAGAAAGTAATTGTAGATCGTAATTTTACCAAAAGTGAAATAGGAAACTTTTCGAGATTATTATAACCAGCTCCAATGTTTCTAATCATCATGGAATTATGCGACTGTTACTTAGTTTGAAGAAAGTGGCTATTATCTTATCGCCTCGATAGTACAAAAGGGTGTATTTAGTTTTTATTAAAGACGACTAGTATGAGAATTTGAATCATAGCCTCATATACTTCAACTTCTTTTTAGTATAACGATTATAATAATTTCAAAAGTAAAGCTTTAATTTAACATCTTGGTTTCTCAATTACATACATTTTATGGATTTCAAAAGACCCAATTTACACAAGGCCCAATTTACACTGGAATAGGTAAAAAAGTTTGTGGTTCGTCCATTTACACATCCATGGTGATCTACAAGTGGGATTTAAACCCCAACTCTAGGTTACTTGAGAAGGTTTCATCCACTTGGACTGGCTTTACTCACGATAGTAGAACATTTTAATTGGACATCATGCAAATTTTAATTTGATTATCAAGGGAAATGATATATAATTTCAGTTTGTAGTTGATACTAGGGATGTTTTTGGTAGGTGCTTTCAGATACACTGCATGTCGTCTAGTATTTGTAGGTATACAAACAGAGTGGAAGATATGAGAATTATTTCATTTATTATTAGTAAAAGGAGTATAATTCAAGCAATCTTGATGGAAAAACCTTAATTAAATGGAAAGAAAAAGATTCCATGGTGTATCCGATGCACTTTGGGAACATCCAAAAATATATTAATTATATGATAAACCCACACCCGCCCACACAACCACACTAAGGTACACGTAGTTCTTGTACTGTTGCTGTTGATTTTATATAATTGTTGATTGACTTGGAAGTTTCGAAGACTTTTCCTATCACCTTTTCTATAAATAGGTTTGTTGATTTGGCTGTTTAGAAATGATTTCTGTAGCATTAGTTGATCGCAAGGTTGTTAATTAATTAGTCATTTGTTGGGTGTTTGATGGTACAGAAACGACCATTTGTTGAGGGGGAAGAGGATGGTTACAAAGTCCTTAATCGTGAAGCCAAGCACAGAATTGCCTCCTCAAAGTGAGTGATTAAAATTTTGCTTAATTCTTACTAGAAATTTCATTATTATTATATTTGTACATATACTTGACATGGGTTTTTTTTTTCTTCCCAGTTTTGCTAGAAATGTGATGCATGGCCTTTCATCACAAGAATTAGCATCGGCTTTGGAACCATTGATTCGAGGATGGGTAAGATCACTTTTGCTCTTGCTATTATTAGATTCGATTATCTGAAGGAAATTTTCACTTTCGAGATATCTTCTTGTAACTTTTTCTTGGAAGCTGTCTTCTTATGGGATAAAGCCAACTTTACTGCTGCTGTAAACCTTTTAGCAGTTTTGAATCTTTTGTGTTGTGAATGTTTTCATGTGCTGATTGTTTACTTGAAATCCCTTTGTTTGATAGGTGCGAGAAGAGGTGCAGCGTGCATGCCAAAGCTTCTGCTGTTCATCACCAAGGTTAGACCTCCATCTCTTTTAGATTTGGGTGTTCGTTATCTGCAGCTACTGTTTGTCGGTCAACAGTTCATCTAGTTAGATTATGTGCATTCAAGTTCTTCTCGTGTTAGATTCTGTTTATTTTGCATATAGCATCGATGTGACGATGCCCTTTGTTTAGGGATGTATCTATGTGTTTGCATGTCTTTGCTGTAATAAAAGTTTGGCTTGAATCAACTGGCCACTCCAGATTTCCACGATTTTCTTCCACCAAGTTTTTTAGATATATATTCCTTTATTTTACATGCTCCTTTAACGGTTCTGTCTTTCATTTTTGTCACAGATCTCCCTTTAATGCACTTGAACCATGTGGCACAACGTCCTTGCAGCTTCGTTTTCAGACCAAGTTGCCTCCGATGTTGTTCACAGGCAGCAGGGTGGAATCTGAGGACAATAATGCTGTCGAACTAGTGTTATTTGATACCGATTCCAATAAAATTGTATCATCTGGAGCGTTATCTTCATTGAAGATAGAGATTGTTCCCCTAGATGGTGATTTCCCTGCTGATGATGAAGATTGGTCTCCGAAGGATTTCGAGGACAAAGTTATATATGCAAGAGATGGGAAAAGGCCACTAGTGACTGGGGATTTGGTGGTGCCTCTGAAAGATGGAGTTGGGAATCTAGGGGAAGTCTACTTTACTGATAATTCAAGCTGGAGAAGGAGTAGGACGTTCAGGTTAGGAGCAAGAACCCAGAATAATTATACTGGTGTGAGAATTAGAGAGGCAAGAAGCGACGCTTTCATAGTAAAAGATCATCGTGGGGAATGTAAGTCTCTCTTCCTTTTTCTTTATGTCTTAACTTTCTGATCAACTTACCTCCAGAATTTATTTAATTGGGCATTTAAATGTTCAACTTTTAGTCAAGTTTCTAAAATACACCTGTAAGGAGAAATAGGAATCTGGTTCAAAATCTAGTGGCTTAACTGTTGATTCAATTACCTCTTTGGCTAATATTACCTCTTTGTCAGTTTTGAACCAGGTTTAGTATCCAAGTTCTGGTTATATTGTCAATACACCAGATTTTAGTTATAAATAAACATCCCTTGGTCTCCTGAATTTTAACTAACTTCAAGAATCCTTAATTATGCTTGGGCATTGGCTTAGACTATAGCCAGCTGGTAATATCAAGATACTGCGTCTAATAGTCATTTTCTTGATTCAGCATACAAGAAACACCATCCTCCATCTTTGGGTGATGAATTATGGCGCTTGGAAAAGATTGCAAAAGATGGTGCTTTTCATAGGAGATTGGCGTCAAATAAAATATATACCGTGAAGGACTTCTTACAGATGTATGTTACTAATGAGTCCTCACTACGCAAGGTAAGAGATCGGTTAGTAGTTAATTTCACATAAGCATACAGCTTATATGAACTCTTCATGGACAATTCGCTCAAATGTTGTTCTGGATAACACAGATACTTGGCGGGTCCTCTAACAAGACATGGGACACGATTATCAAGCATGCCAAAGCTTGTGTTTTAGATGACAAGCTGTATATGTATAGCTGTGGTGCAGAAGGGATCAGGCTTTTGTTTGATTCCATTTTTAAGATCGTGGGTGCAACCTTTGATGGCCAAAATTACTTGTCTCTGGAAGAACTTGATGGATTTCAGATGGTTTGTATTCTATCTCAGAGTCATTCTTGTAATTATTTGTTCTTATAGAGGCATTAGTGCCACTGGTTTAGTTTTACTTTGAACCATATGTGGTTTAAGGCTCATCATTATGATACTTATAGATGTTTCCTTGTGTGGTAGTGCAGTCTCTGGTGGAATCTTTAAAGAACCAGTTTTACAAGAATTTGGATGGGGTGGTACCAATGGATGACCTGTCTGTTTTCGAATCCTCAATGCTAACATCCGTTTTGCACGGTGACCCTCTTAGAAGTTGTGCTAGTTTGGTTCTGCAGGATGTTAATATCCCAACTCTGCACCCAGGTAGATAATTTATCAAGCCTTTTCTCTCATGGCATGAAGCAGAAATGTTTCATGCACAAATCAATCAACAATTGTTGTTCCCCTCTGTTAAATGTAATTTCAAGAAACCACTTTAATGATTTCACTTGGAACGAAAAAGTCAGTTTCTACTTGTATTACATCTTGTGCTTATTACATTGTCTGCTTGAACGCCATTGAGTCATTATTCTGTCTGTTATATATCCCGATTACATGTTATATTACCTATCTTATTGCTTGCTTGCACCTTTGCTTGGTGCACAAGCCGTGGGTTTTTACGGAAACAACCTCTCGATCCTAGTCGTTGAGTTAAGGTCTGTGACATCCTATCCCTTCCGGATCCTAACTTTTTAGTGGGATGTACTAGGTTCCTATCCCTTCCGGATCCTAACTTTTTAGTGGGATGTACTAGGTTCCTATCCCTTCCGGATCCTAACTTTTTAGTGGGATGTACTAGGTTCCTATCCCTCCCAGACCCTACTTTCGATTGAGATATACTGGGATGGTTTGGTTTGGTTTAGTTAGGTTACTTAGAACGAAAAAGTGATGGTACTTTTTGATGAAGATATGCATTCACTAGTATCACTAACCATAAATAACCTGGCATTTTTTTTATGCATTCACGACTATTCTGTGTAAATGTTGGAAGGGTTTAAAATGCAACCCCGGGCGTTAATTGTCATTTTGTTACACTCATGTGATCTCTCGTTGCTGATAAGACTGTTTTGTGCAGAGCAACCGCAAGTTCAACCACAACCACAAATGCAATTGGCTTCAGCCCCACACGATTATGGGTTGTATAATGGCAGCCAATCAGAAGTCTGCATATCAGCAGGAGGTTCCTCTATGCAATTCTTTTCTCCGTCTCTGAGGAACAGCTTCATAATGAGAGATTTCTGGAACGGACCTTATGGCGAAGGATGTAGTTCAGGCCCAGGTATGCCATCTGGTCCGCCGCCTGCTGATTTTGATTTTCAAACCGGGTCGTCCTTTTGGCCAGGAAATGCGTTGTGCAGTGCTCCACGTAACCAAACTGTAGATACTGTTTCCTCTGATTTTGGTATATGTTTCCCAAGGAACAGATCACCCAGGGCAAGGTGGTGCAAGATTAGAGCAGCTGTGAAGTGGGTTTCTGTGATGCGAAATGTGGCTGCAAAAAGAATGGCAGAGCTGTATCCGTATCTCGATTTCTCAGCTTAAATCTGGCAACCTCAAATGGCTTGGAGGTGTGCTTCCTATAAATGTTCCTTTGTTAAATTTGTTCATTATTTTTTTTTGACAATTATGGGGTTCTGTTTGTAACATAGGTTATCAAGTATAGTTGTAAAAGCAGTTGTACCGAAGTTTAGGAGGGAAGTTCCTCCTATGGGGTATGTTTTTGTGGATGGATCGGTTACTGTGCGATCACCGCTCTTTTACGCTTTTGCAACATGTACAATGCTATGTGATGTTGATGTTTAAATGGTAATAAAAGCTTTTAGATCATCGTGGTCAGACTGATCTTTTTGATGTGTAATGAACTTCTCTCAAGTAGAAACTAATGTGATCGTCCTTAATTGACTTCTTTTTGCAACCATTGGTTTTAAGATGGTTCCATTGTAACGTTTGGGGTTCTGAACCTCACATCTATGGCTTTTTGTTAAATCCAGTTGCATTTGTTTTTGTTTTTTTTCCCTTCTAATTTTCAACTTCTGTCGGATTGAACAATCTTTGGTTGAGTCTGTGCCTTAGCTTGAACATGTTCTGATTCAGTAGCATCAGTAGATTCAGGTTGGACAACATTTGATGTTGAATAACGAGCTTCAGATGGTCTAGAAAGTTGAGTAACTTGCGGAATCGGATCACTGGTTCAATCAACTTGGGTAGATTAGATATCTTGTAATCTGGAAGAATATCCTAAGTGAGATCAAATGCGTCTTTGAACAAATAATCTAAATTTGATTTTTACATCAGTAGAATCAGAATTTATTATCCTTTTTGGTACATGTTCTACATTGCTTTGTGTAGAAGCTGAAGGTTGTAGCTTGAGTCCTGAACTGATTTGTTCAGAAGTCGATGATTCATTGAATCTGATATTGATGATTTTGATGACAATCTTGGATGACTTGATGTAGACTCGGAAGACTTTAGACTTTAACGAATACAAATAAAGTGGCATTCTTTCGCCTTCTTATCGAATTTCCCGAGTTTGTCTCGATTGTTAAGCACGAAGCATCTGCATCCAAAAACATGAAATTTTTTTACATTAGGTTTTCTTTTATTTATTAACTCATAAGCAATTTTATTAAAGTGCTTGACAATGATCGTTCTATTCTTTGTAAAACAGGCAGTAGACACTTCTTTAGCCCACAAATGCATAGGTAGACCGTAGTAAGCCAACATAGTTCGAGCAGCCTCGACTAATGTTCTGTTTCTTCTTTCAACAACTCTATTTTGTTGCAGAGTTCGAACAACAGAAAGATTGTGAGAAATCCCAATAGTTTGAAGAAAATTTTGAAGGGTCTCATTTGTAAATTCAGTGCCATTGTCACTTCAAAGCTTTTGTACTGAAAGTTGTAGAGGAACTTGAATACGCTTGATAAAAGAAATAATTAGCTCCGTCGCATCAGATTTGGCTCTCAGAAACTCTAGCCATGTGTATCTGGAATACTCGTCGACTATCACCAAGATATACTTTTTACATCCAAGCGATTGAATATGCATTGGTCCACATAAGTCCACGTGAATCATTTCGAGAGGAGATTTACAAGACGAAGCAATTTTTTTTATGCGAAGATCTTGTAATCGTTCCCATTTCATATGCTGAACACAGTGAGTTCTTATCAAATCTAATTTCAGGCAGACCAATGACTAAATCACAGCTTACGAGCCGATTAATGTCTTTGAAATTCTGATGAGATAATCTTCTATGCCATTCCAACTGTCTTCTTTTGATGCTTTGGAGATTAAGCAAATTGGCCTAGAAGCAGTTAGAGTTGGAAAATTAACCGCATAAAAATTACCATAGCGTTCAAGCCTATTTACTTTTATCCTTTCAGAGTCAATAATCACACAACCATTAACAAAGAACTTTACATCAAACTCATTATCACAGAAATGACTAATATTTAATAGATTATGCATTGAGTTAAAACTTTAACTTGAATGATCAAACTGAAAAGTTAGCAAAAATTGGTAATACCCAAGTGTTACATTTTACCTCTTGGGTTCGGCTTACACCCACACCCAAAAGGGAGTATAGCTCATACTTAAAAGAAAAGACATAATAGAAGAGAAGAAATACCCAAAGTTAAATTGCATTAAAATTAAGTTCCACAGTGTCGCCACAGTGGGAGAGATAAATGTAAACATCAAACTACAATTATCAAAGAAAATGAAATGCAAGATGAGCCTTAAGCTTCTACATTGCTAGAAGTCAAGTAGTTTTTCAAGTTGATTTCCAAGGCGTCAATATATAAGTAAAGAAAAAGAGAGGCTTCGAAAGATACTTGAGAGAGGAGAGGGACCTCTAAATGGTGCCCTCTTCCTTATTTTGTCTTGATCTCCTTTTGAAAGAGACTTGAGAGAGGAAAGGGACCTCTAAATAGTGTCCTCTTCCTACGTTTTGTCTTATTTTCTTTGCCCTAGTCTCGTATTTATTCATGAATATTTCAGCGTTGACCATTGTCCTTGCATGCTCCTCATTTCACTGAATTGGAAATAAAACCAATTGCAAGATCTTTAAGTTTGATGTTCGCCATAGAGGTGACATTGTGGGCACAATGGTGCAACAACTCAAAATTTGAACTTTTTAGCTATTTCTCAACTTTAGGAACAATTTAGACCAAAGAAGTATTGAAAGGCTCAAATGGGTATTAAATGGGTAAAACTGGGTTTAAAAGAGTGGCGAGTAACTCTGAAATTTGAAGGTTGTCATACACCCAAACTTGATATATTACTTGCACTCCAGTAATGGAAAACGAGAGGAAAAGAAAAAAGCAAAAAAAACAAAAAATACGATTGATATTTTTAGCACAAACATCTATTAATTTTGCGGAATACGAATTAGAAGCAATGATGTATTACCTTTGGACTTGCATGGTGCACACCTCTCTTTTGTCAACATGACATTTAGTTTAATCAATAAGGCTTGCACGAGTTTGTGTTTGCTTTTGCTGGTTCACTTCTTGGCTTGTCCCTTTTCCCCCAAACTTATTCTTTTTGGAAAGTATGTTGCACAATTCACACACTTTCGCACATATCAGACTTCTCCCATTTTCTACATAACTTTGTTTGCTTTTCTGAAAAATTAATTCACACTTGGCTGAACATGGGTGATTTTGTGGCCACAATTTGTAAAAGCATTTTATGATTCTCTTGATGCTTTTTCTGATTTTGGCTACTAAAAAATCCCTCCCCCTAAACTTAATATCGGCAATGTCTTAATTGTGGAAGAAGGACATACGGGTGGTTATGAGTACGGAGCAAAAGGGGTGTGTATGGACCGAAAAATGGATAAACGTCTTACGTCCTTTCAAACTAAAATTCATGGGAACTAAAGAAAAATATGCACATGCAAAAAGGATTATTATATACATTCATAGACGGTTTGTAACAAAATAAACTGGTGTATGAATCTAGACATTTATACACGGTTCTGATAAAAAGAGTTTAAGATCATACACATTTGTCAATGGTTTCATATAAAACTGTGTACGAATCTACACATTGTACGATTATGATAGAAATCGTTTCAGATCATGTTTCATTTAAAAACCATGTAAGAAACACACTTTTATACACGGTAATGAGTGTTTTTTATACGGTTTATGAACTGTGTATGAAGATGACTCTTGTACACGGTTGCAAAACCGTGTGTGAAAGGCCATTACTTTCATAAACACCGGCCTTCTAAACGGTTGCAAACCCATGTATGAAAGTCTAAAACAACCATGTATAAATGTCTATTTGTAGTAGTGTTAAAGAATTTAAATTAGGTTATATATATATATATATATATATATATATATATATATATAATAACAAATAGGACATTAAAAAGTCAAGAAAAGTCAAATATCACGTAAAAAATCGTGCATTTAGCCATAGCATCCCACAGGCTTAATGTGACATGAGACAATTTTTTAGTAATTTTTTTAATATCTAATAAGACTAAAAAAATTCGTATTATATTAAGGGTCAAACATGTATTAATTAATTACATTTAAAAAAAAACGTAAAAAGTTAATTGTGCGTTCATTTTATAGTAGTGTTTACCCTAATATATTATCTAGTACCAAAGTATAAAACTACTTGACTAGAAAACTTTGATATAAAGGTTGTTTGTTTACCTCTTAATAGTTTCACTAAGAGACGGCATTTGAATCATTAAGAGGTGGATCTTGTTTCAAAAAAAATATGTCTCTTAATGGTTCTAAAATTCTCTGAATGATTTCGTATCATGGGTCTCCCTTAACTATTAAGAGCGCTAATTTCATTATAAACAATTATCAAACAATTATATTTCATTTTTCACTATATCATGAGAGCCTCTTAATCATTCTGACCACTTAATCATTTTGCACCAAATCATTCAGCAACTGCCAAACAGCCTCATATTCTACATCATTCATCTCTCATTGACTTTTTTGATTATTCCATTCATGAATTCTATTTTTGTAACAAAATATAATATATTTCTTGTTATTAACTAAGAAAACTCCTAACTTTTGAAAAAAATTACCAATTATATGATACGATCCAACTTATATCTATATTTAAGATTTCAAAACACCTTGTTTTTTCATACATTATTGACTCCTTGTTACTTAATACTGAGTGCTTGAATCTTAAGTACTATCATTAAAACAAAATAAGATCAAGTTATAACCGACATGAGTTTTTTATTCTAAGATTGATAGTTTCGAAAAAGTTTGTTTTAACCTTAAACGTTTAAAGCGATGATGAAAAACATTAATCTTATGTGGGATGAAAACTCAGCTGATTTATATTGATTTACACAAAGTGTTACTCTAAGTAGTCAAGATTATGAACCCAAATGATAACAATCTATATATTAAAGGTATATCATATGATGTTTTTGACGGTGAAAAGATCTAACGATACTATATAAAAATGATATAATAGATAATATTAATTTAGAAATAATTATTCTGAAAATACTCTAAAAAAACGATTTTACATGAATTATTTATATTTCTTGAATCCAATGTTATTTTTTACGATAAAAACGATATATTAAAGATTTTTCATACTTATGACTCTTTTCTAAATATTATACAGGACCTATAAAATATCAGGAAAGAACATGTTTGATTTAATTTAATTTTATAATAACTACTAACTATCTGATACTAGAAGGGTACTCGTGCAAAACAGCGTGATACATCTTGATTTTAATGTTTTATTTTATTCTTAATCTTAATACGGTTTTATGTGGTTTTGAGGAATCGATAATGTTTTTATTTTTAAATAAAATATAAATTTGAAGATATTATAAGAATTAGAAAAAAAT